AGCAGTTTCTAAGGGATACTGGGAATTTTGGTCCAAAAGGGGGAACTACAACACCCAGAATGCCCCAATCAGCCACTAGGGGATACTGGGAGCTGTAGTCCAAATGGGAATTAGTCCCCTTGTTTTGCAAGGTTTTCCAATTTGAGTCACTGCTAGCTGCTACCTTGGAAACATCTGAGGGATTTGGAAAACTTTGCTGCGCTGGCTTGGGGGAATGATGGGTGTTGTAGTACCCAAGTTTGACCTTTTTAAAAACTACAACACCCAGAAGTCTCCAGATAGTCTCTGGTGTGGATCCTGGGAGTTGTTGTCAGAAAGGATTCATTTTGGCTCTGGTGCCCCAACAAACTACAACTCCCAGAATTCCATAGATTGAGCCCTGGCAGTTATAGTGGTATCAAACCGGATTATTTCTGCAGTGCAGATGCGCTCTGAACCTTTTCCCTTTTGCACTATACTTATCTTCAATGTAGTTTTTGGTGTGTATTTGCTATTTTGTATTTAGTTCATTTTGTTACTTTTTGGCAAAAATAAATGAAGATTATTTATCTATATTGCTTTTTCCTTTTCCGTCTTGTTGTTTCAACAAAATTTGGTAACAGCGGGTTTGAAAAGAAGATGTTAAAAGAAGATTTTATGCCTGGAATCATTTTTTTTTCTTTCTTTTCATCGAAATGCTAGAGTTTTTCTTTTAATAAACACATTTATTTAAAAAAAAAGAGAGATAATAATAATAATAATAATAATAATAATAATAATAATATGATTTATTTCTAGCCCGCCTATTTCCAAAGGGAATCAAAGCAAGTTACAAGCATAAAAATAAAAGAATACAATAGGAAAACAATAATATAGAAGCTGCAAAAAATACGTTTATATTCATTTTTTGGTTGCGGTTATTAGCCACAGAAGTTGATTTTAGATGGCAATAATTTTTTGATTGATAAGAGAATATTTTTTTTAAATACTAGAAATGACTGTGATAACTGATTTTTCAAAGATATTCCCCAAAGGTGACCAGATGTCCTCACTGCAAAAGAGGACAAGGCCCTGCAAAATGTAGGACTCATGGGAAAATTTAGGATGTTGCAAAATAATAATAATAATAATAATAATAATAATAATAATAATAATAATAATAGTAACAACAACACTGATTTAATATTAATAATAATAATACTGATATAATAATACTGATATAATAATACTGATATAATACTAATACTGATATATTAATAATAATAATAATAATAATAATAATAATAATAATAATAATAATAATAATAATAATAATAATAATAATAAATTTATTTTGCACCTCTCCTCAAGGCAGGGTTAAAATATAATACTATAAAACCATTACAATAAACTTATATAATAATACATTCTTTAAATCAGAACAGTTAAAAATAATTAAAATTGTTTGGGTAGGTCTGCCGGAAAAAAAACTCCTATAAATTAATTTCATATATTTTCCTGACAGCTATACACTGTATTTTATGAGGCCCTCGGCCGCATATTTCTAACGAATTTATCTTTGCTAAAATGCCTTGGTGCCTTGCAATATCCTTCCAAAGACTATTCAAAATGGACTTTTACTGGCAATTAAAACCCTTGAATTAATACATTGAAATCATTCTTTTCATTTCCCCATTGTGCCGAAATTCAGGGGGGAAAAATAATCCCTTTTTCAATATTTGCATTGCGTTATCAAGAAGCCCATTGCCTCCCATGTTTGCTGTCCTTTTTCCCCTTGGAGAAACAAATGCATCCTGGGCTCTGGGTGCGAGTCTTGCCCGCTGCTGCTCTTAGGACTTTATCACATGGGGGAAATCCCTTCCAGAAACGGGGTTTTAAATAGGAAAAAACCCTGCAAAAGCAGGTAGATTTTCAGACGACGGAGTTTATCACGCTCGATGGATCTCCTGGCGAAATTGGATTTAGAGTGAAAACACCCCGCAAAAGTGTTTATCCCAAACATAAAGTAGAAATAACCCGCAAAAGTGGGTTGTTTTCCAGACGACGTTGGCAGAGAGGAACAGCAAGCGTTGTGTTAGAGTCATAGGATCATAGTTGGACGAGACTCAATAATAATAATAATAATAATAATAATACATTTTATTTATATACTGCCCATTGGTAACCCAATCCAGGTGGTTTACAGCATAAAATAACATACAGCGTAAAACAGACATTTTCCCTCCCCCCCCTTAAAACATTATTAAACTGCATTATAATTAAAACCAATTGACAATTTAAAACAAGAAATTAAAATTGATATGTGCTGCTCACTTCTAGCAAAATTTTGTCAGAGAAGGTCTGCCATGGCTTGCCCCTGAGGCTGAGAGTGTGTGACTTGCCCAAGGTCACCTAGTGGGTT